GTAGGTGGGTGATTTTGTCACACTGATCTGCCCCTCAGCAGGTTTTGAAAGAAAAGGCCCAAGCTTTACAAAGTTAATCCATTATATTCTAGCCATCGGTTCTTTCCAGAATGAACTACATTTACATAGTAGGTTGACCTTTACACATGTCTATTTCTTTGATTATAACACAAGTTTTAGTGGTACCATTTCCCTGCATAAAGCCAAGATATAATCATCATTAAGCAAAAGCATCAGAGAACTGAGCTATTCCTGCTCATGCTATTATCCGGCAGAGGGGAGACCCTGGGCTGGTGTACATCTTAGAGAATAAACACAGTTTTGGTGACCTCAGTAATCTTGGACAAGACAGTCCAGGCCATCAAGGTGGAGGAAGGGGTCATGAGACAAATACAGGCAGCTTCTGGAAGCTGGAAGAGGCACAGAAGTGGCTTCCCCGCTGGAGCCCCCAAAAGGAACACAGCTCTGCCAACACCTCGATTCTAGCCCCCATAGGACTCATTTTTGGACTTCCAGCCTCCAGAATGCTAGAGAATACATTTTGCTATTTCAAGCCACTCAGCTTGAGGCCACTTGTTAGAGCAGCCAGAGGAAACTCATATGCCCTGTCTGAAGAACCACCAATAGTTCTCTTGCTCTTCCCTGTGACCAAAAAATAGTATCTGGGATGACAATCAGTCTCTCACCTACCAAGTCAACCTGTCCCTAAAATGGCCGAGTTCTGGGCTACTGTGCAAGGGACAGAGTTCAGGGTCACAGAGGCAGTCGGCCCTGTGGGTCTGAGATGAGGGGTTTAGCATGAGCGTTTTCAGACCAATCCAGCTGTTTAAGACATAAACCAGCAGAACTATTCACGCTCTCTTCAAATGTTATGCCAAAGGAAAAAAAAAGTTCCCCCAGGTAGTGCCGTGTTTATAAATGTGTTTATTACAGCACATCAGCCATTTATCTAGTGCTTAGCTAAAATGCTTTGAATCAAGTTGTGCTATTCCTTGACTTAACTCTGAATCTTTTCCATTCAGGTCTGTGAGAACTCCTGATATTTGAAGCTTGATTCCCAAGTTTCCATAGCAACAGGAAAAAGAAAAAAAAAAAATCCAAATCTGAAGATTGCAGTTTACAGCTCTCAAACTTCACACCTAGGCCTCAATTGTTTCAGATTTTTGTTTTCTTTGCGACTTCACTGGGTCTGTACTTCACCATTTCTCCTTTAATTAATGGAATCTTCTGAATTTCCCTGAATGTTTAAAGATCACAGCATATAACTTGACCTTCTGGGAGCAGAGACAATGACTACTTTTTCTGATGTGTTGCCATGTTGCTAGTCAGCACTCCACACATGCAGCTGTGTCTGTGGGTTCGTATTTGTATATGTGTGAGTATCTGTATGTGTATATACACAGTATTTATAGAGAGAAACGCTACAGAAGGAGCCTAGTTTTGATATGTCATTCTTCCATGAGAGGTTACACAAAGAAAGGATAGAAGCTATGCCACTGTCCCCTCCAGGGCCTCGGCATCGAGCGAAGCACTAGTACAGACCACAGAGCTGACGCTTCTCCACCATCCTGGGCGGTCTGCGTGCCACCACCGCCTGCCAGGCAGGTCCGCAAAGAGAGCAGAGACACAAGTCCTTTCTCTTTAGTAAAGGACTGCAACCAATTTTCACTGCCACCCCATGCCATGATCCCAAGCAAAAGTGGTGAGGGGCAGAGCAGCAAATTTTACCATCAAATGCTAAGAAAAGGGCTGAAATATTCTTTCGGGGGCATCCCTCTGCATCTGTAGGTGTCCTGAATCCAGTCCCACCGGTTCTTACAAGGACGCAGATCATGGCAGCGAATCTGTCTCTCCTCAGTATCTGTACCTTTGCAGACGTCATCGTGGAGGCCCTACCTGCGTGGGAGGAGGTTGACAGGCACATGTGTGTACACGTATATGCCCACATGTATAGACACCCCTTTATGCACATACACGTTTGTTTCATATATACAGGCATAAAATAGAGTAAATACAGGTAGTTTTAAAAGTACCCTTTTGTGTGACTCAACTACCGTTGTTTGCAAACCTGAAAATAAAAGATGTTCATTATGTATGAAAAGTAATTGATTTTTATTCTGTGAGCATGTCAAAGAGGAAACTCCATGCTTGTACTAAGATTATCTTCTTATTGATAAACTGTAAAGAACCATCCAAGCTCACACCAAATTTTTCTATCAGATACAACTAGTGACAGCCTGTGGCTTTTTATTAGAGCTGGCCACGAACTAGCGTAAGGTAAGTGTCTTAGCATATTTCAGTGCAGTTGCTTACTAAAGGTTTTAATCACATGCACATGCGCGCGCACACCCACGCACACCCACGCTTTCTTATGCAATCTCTGTTTGCACCTGTGCTTTCAGTTCGCCTTCTGTAGGAAGTAGGAGTCATATGTTGTCTTTATTGTAGTGAAATTATGCAGATTGAGTTCCATATATTGTATTTGTTTCAATAGTAAGTCTTTTTGGAGCATAGAGAATGCAGATTTTTTTTCCATTAAAATAAATGGGTATTGGTGGTTAAAACGGCTGGACAGTAGCTCTTCTCTGATTTCTATGTTGTGTCTCATGTTGCCGATGCGAGGTCTTGCCTTAGTGCAAGTTCACAGTTTGGACTGGTCATCTGGGGTCCCCCGTACAACTCGGGGGAGTTGAGGGAGTTGTAAAGCCAGAAGCCCCCACTCACAGCTGGGACCGTGCACCCATGTTGAGGGAGTCTGTAAAGCCAGAAGCCCCCACTCACAGCTGGGACCGTGCACCCATGTTGTCCATCATAACGAACAATTTGAGCATTTTGCAATCAGCTGCAAAGAAAATGGCTATACTCACAGAGGAGCAAGATCATCCTCAGGTTGATGACCGCATGGCACACGGTCACAACCATCTGTCTGCAGTCCCAGAACATGGGTCTATCTCTCTCGAACAAGTCCAGTCACTCAGTCAGGAGATGTTGCATCCTGAACACGACAGACTGGTTCTCCACCCATGCACAGAGCAGGCCCAGAGGTTGGGGGGGCGGGGAGTCCAAGCCTGCACACTCACATTCTACAAGATTTCCTCTTCTGGCTTTATAGATTCAGACAAACTCAGCAGCCTGGCCCATAGGCTAGCTAACTAACAATCGGAAAGCTCAGCCTCCTTTGTGAATCTGGGCTATCCCTAGGAAGAAACCCAGGGGTCAAGTAGGCAATTCACTCAGGTCAACAAGTGCAAGACTCCACGTCCCTCAATCCAATAGGCCCTCCTGCACTTTGCAAATCAAGCCACCAGCTTAACTTAGCTTAGAACACAGAAAAATAGGAATAAAGTACAGACTTCATTATTAAGTAACATATGCCTTAATTTTCCCCTACTTAAGTATGCTCCCTGTCCCGAGTTCTCATCAGGACAGAGATATTGCTACTGTGTAGTTCTTTCTAATCCTTTCAAAAAAAAAAAAAAAGTGAGCAAATTCTTTGAAGCCAAAGTGGTGGCATTTCCTGAATGGCAGAATGTTTTCTAACTTGCTCAAACACATTTACGTTGTTTTTTGAAAGCAAAAGTAGAATCAAAGCATTATTTCATTATTACCAATGCATTTTATTTTAGTCCAAGTTACTGAAAAAAAAAGTAAGTAAAAGCCAGAAGTTTCTTTTCTGGATTGCTGAACACAAAACTGAGGATTTTATTTCCACTGAGTGAACAGTCACACCATCTTCACTATTTTATTAATATGTCAACCACCTGAATTGATTAAAAATTACTTTTTCTTTCCATTTTACATATGAGAAATTATTTCTGATAACTTGTTTTAGCAAAAACATGCAAACATTTTCTAATTTAGAGAAAAGTTACCTTCAGTACTACCAATTCCTCCAAATGAACATCATTTCAGGTAGATGTATCTGCCGGGACTCTCTGCCAACTCCTGCAAATCTGAACAGGATAGCAAAATAAATCTGGTTAAATTTCGTGTTAGGTATCAGAGAAGACTTTGATTCTCAAGGACCATTTTTAGAAATTTTGATAACATCCCAGATTTCCAAAATGTGATTCTAAAAAGTCTAATAAATGGCATAACCATTTACCATCAAATCCTTGAATTAGGTCACATTGTATGTCATCCAAAATAAATACATTGGGTCTCAGTCTTAATAGGTGGCAAGTACAACATGATTAACAAGGCTGTGTTTGATGCTGGGTTTAGTGCAGCTGGACCCATACATAAGCTCTCCGGGTTGGTTCTGAAGAAAAGAGTCTACAGTTCTCCTGGGGTGTATGAACAAAGTAAAAAAATATGCATTAATAATGCTAATAATAATAATAATGGTTTACATTTGTTGATTGCTTACTATGTATCCACACTGCACAAAATCCTGTATACCTGTTAACTCATTGACCCCTTACAACAACCCTATGAGGCAAGGACTCTTATCTTCTCCAACTTACAGATAAAGAAAGCTGACAGTCAGGAAAATCAAATAGCTTGCCCTTGGTAAGTGACCTCCAGAACTCACCTGGTTTGGCTGCAGGGCTCTGTTATTTCTATTATATCATGGTGCCACTCACAGTCATGCAGCCAAACCAGACAAACTCTAGTCTGAAGCCTCCATTGGCAGGACTATCTATCCAAACCGAGTAAATAGACCTTCTACTATTTCTTAGTTCTAAGAGCTGTCAAGAACCAGCAACAGCATTCTCAATTCATAGTAAACTTTAGAAATGTCTCCTGCACAAGATCATCTTCTCCAGGATTTCCCAGGATTTCCCAGGATTTCCTTCCTTCCCTCTCATGGCTTGTGCACAGGTGCATGAGGGACTCCTACTAGATTAATTAGATATCTCAGGTGTGCGAAAGTACATTCTTGTCCTTCCAAGTACCCGGTCGCGGCCAAACCAACCAAGGGGAGGGAAAGCTTAAGGAGCAGTAGCATGGGGCGTTCAGAAGCTTGCCCTGGGCTCAGCTACAGACAAACTAAAGGATCTCCAAGCACTTCTGAGTTTTTCAACATTGCACCTTAACCTGTTCATGTGAAGTGTTCATAAGCACGAATCGACAGGTAAATCACACCAAGAGAAAGGTGAGCCCCGAGAAAGAATGAACTACCTTCTGTGTCTAACCGCTAAGAAATAATAATAAAATCATCACCATCTCCATCATCATCAGTGATCTGGCTACACTTTTCACAAAGATGATGCATCCCAACTTCTTTCCTTACCTGGCTGTTGAAATTTGGAACTTCTCATAGTCTGGTGGTAAGACACTTTCATTACTCTTTGTCTAAAGCAACTAACGGTCCTTTTGCTGTGTCAAATGTGTTAACCTTTATCATATTTCCCATCGCTGATGGATTAGCCCACTACTGAAAAAATTCTGTAATCTTGACCTTCTTTATATAAAAGCATATGCAAAATAGGTAGATACAGAAGAAAATGGTGAGATTGAACATGTGAACAAGGACTTCAGATAAGAACTTTAACTGTCTAAATTAAGCCGAAATAATTTAGATATTCATCAAATTCAGTAAGGAGGAAAGCCTCTTCCTATCACTTGTGCAACATTGCTATCATAACATTAATCGTTGGAGGGTTGCTGAGCTTGAGAAGCCTTTGAACCATTTTGTTGGGCTTCCAAGTGCCAGCTGGTTGGTAGGGATATGGTGAGAAGCAACAGGTGTAGTAAGACCACAAAAATTTCACCATGAAGCTGTGAAGCCTTTGAGAAAGTAGCATATGGAAGCACTGTTAGTATATGCTGAAAATTTCCATTTTCTGCTACTTTTTCAAAAGCTTTTCCTTTAGAAAGCAAGAAAGTCATTCGTTATCTACAGTTTACATGGATTCAGATTATTAAAGAGTTGAAAGTGAAGGCTATATGAAAAAGAGTCTGTGTGGTCATGCGCACATCAACACTGTTCTGGTGGTAAATATTATTTATCCCCCCAAGACAAAAATTTTCAGAAAGTTTAAATCTTTTTTCATAAACACTCAAAAGGGATAAAAGTTTATCATCTTGAAATATTTCATTCTATTGTGGATGCAGTTCCCTTGGGCCCTAGTTGCTGAGTTGTTTACAGTTCCTGAGCTGTAAATTAACATTTGATTTACCATGTAGTTGCAAAGAAACTTGTAACTTGTTTGTGAAATATTTAAATAAAGGTTATCTGGGATTTTTAATGTGTGTACTTGGTCTTAGACTGTCTTTAGTACCATTTCAACACAGCGACAGAGCAAAGGTATATTTTTTTAAATGGGGCTCTGGTTGGCCTATCATGTTGAAAGACCAAGACTAAAACCAAGTGCTAGCCTGACTGATAATTAACTCTTCCCTCTGCTTCCTTCATAACAGTCAGAGCCCTCTGATGTGAAAGAAACAGATAGATGATTAGATAGATAGATAGATGATAGATAGATAGATAGATAGATAGATAGATAGATAGATAGATGATAGATAGATAGATGATAGATAGATGATAGATAGATAGATAGATAGAGCGCCTGGGTGGCTCAGTCATTAAGCGTCTGCCTTCGACTCAGGTCATGTTCCCAGGGTTCTGGGATCGAGCACCACATCAGGCTCCCTGCTCGGCGAGAGGCCTGCTTCTCCCTCCCCCACTCCCCCTGCTTGTGTTCCCTCTCTCGCTGTGTCTTTGTCTGTCAAATAAATAAATAAAATCTTTAAAAATAGTAGATAGATAGATAGATAATAGATTGATAGAAAGAAATAGAAGCTTGATAGATAGAAATAGAAAGCAAGATAACTTTAGGGAGGTCCTTAACAAAAGAGAGGAAAGGTGCTAATAGTTAATAAGTGCCTCGCACGAACCAGATACTTTACATATGCATGCATGTATATACATATTATACATGTAATTTATATGAAATATAATTATGCATTGCATATATCATGTATATAATTCGTGGAATATTGGAGTACGCTGTATCTCCACTGCACTGATGTGACAGCGAGGCTCACAAGTGAAAACTGTCTCACACTAGGTCTCACCTAGAAGGGGTGCATGTGACTCCCAACACCGGTACTTTTCCACTGTACCCTAAGACAGCACCACGTCACCTGTGGCCCAGAATAAACCTTCGAGGTTGTACCCTCTCATGTACAACACATGAACTTGACGGTGACAAGACAATCTGACACAACAGCATAAGGGAAGCAGAAGAAAACCAAACGTGCAAGTCAGAGTCTCTCTGAAACATTTCCTTCCTCCCCGGGCATCTGTCTCCAGGAAATTGCCAGCTTGCGTAAATAAATAGGAAACTGATTCCTTGGCAGCCAATCACGGAGACGCTAATTTGGAAAATTGCCACAAATGAGCATGAGAAAGTAAGCCAACACTTCAAACCAAAAGCAAAACAACTCAAGATGGATCCGGACACTGCTGATCACACCATTCTTCTCCATAAAACAATTTTCTGTTATGTAAACACAGCCTCAAAGAGACCTTCCCCTGCTCCTGCACGCAAGACAAAGAACCCAGGGCACACTCCAGAGACAACAGCAAAACTGGCTTTTCACATGGGAATCCAAGCGAGGAGGACTGG